GACACGCATTGCGCGTTGTAAAAGGTTGTTTTTCTAGTAGTGATGCTAGGCGAGTTACCGGTTGAAAGAGACCGAAGGGGTAGGCCTGCATCCTGATATGCTAGGCAAGTTATCAGTTGAAAGAGACCGAAGGGTTAGGCCAGTACCCGGACATTTTAGACATTATTGTATGGTATGTGGTATGATGGGAGAACTCACTAAGCTTCGTGTTTACGGTTTTCAGTTTTGGTTTCAAGTACTTCTTCTTCAAAAGGAATTGAGTCGGCATGATCGCAGCGCATCACACTATGTTTTTCCGCACATAAGATCTTTGGGATTATACTCTAATATTGTTTCATTATGACATGTTTTGATTATTGACATACTGGTTTTGGATATGGGATGACACTATGGATGTTTTTATACTATTGGTTTTATAATAACTTAATTAAATGTATACATTTAGACAACTTTTTATGTATACATTTAATCATTTAACTTGTTAACGTTTAGACAACTTTTTATGTATACATTTAATCATTTAACTTGTTTTTATACTATGTTTTTCCGCACATGACTCTATTCGTCTTGTTCACGTTTAGACAACTTTTTATGTATACATTTAATCATTTAACTTGTTAAATGTGTTCACATATTATCATTGTCACCCGCTATCTCATGTGACAATGATAACATGTGAACACATTTAACAAGTTAAATGGTTAAATGTGTATAAAAAAAATAGTCTAAATGTGAACAAGTTTTTTTACAAATTTCTTAAGACTTTTTATAATTTCTCGCAACATTTTTATGATATTTTTTTCCTATAGTTTTTTTTCTAATACAATGTTTTAAACTTTGCTTATAATTTTTTTAAACCTTTTTAAATACTTTCATATAATTTTAATGCAAGTATTTTTAAACCAAATATTTTCTAAATGTTTTAAAATGTTCTTATAGGTTTTTAATTTTTTTTTTTACATTTTCATACAATTTTTTTTATAACTTTCATACAACTATAATGCTAAACTTTCTTTGACAACATTTTTAAAGCGTTTCATAGATTTTATATGACAATTTAATATCTTTTATAACATTTAAAATACTTTTGTTAAATGCTAGTTTAGAATGTTGTATTAAAAAAATTAAAATGTTTATAAACTTCTGATTAAAAAGTATAAAAAAGTTGTAATAATTTTAAAACATTTATATTATATAGTTTTTTTTATTTTTTATTTGATACGTAATATTTTCTTTTTATTTTTTTAAAAGAACCTCCATACTTATTATTATATATTTAGTTTATTTGATTTTATTGTTAGTTACTATTTACTTTAAAAGGATTGCATATGCTTATAAACAAAAGAAAAAAAAATATAAGAGACTATATAAAATATTTCATAAAAAAATATTTATTAATTAAAAATAGAGTTTAGAACTAATCAATATTTAATTAATATTTATGATAGTAAGTTTTTGCTAAAAATAAATTAGTAGAAAATTGATTTATCAAAATCAAAAGACTATAAATAGGATAAATAATCAATCATTATGGATATTTTAAAAATAACGTTTGAAAAAATAATACAAATAAATATGAAAATTAAAATCGCTATTAAAAGTGGGAAAAATGACTTATCAAAGTAATTAACTTTTCATTTTTTCACATTTAGGTAATTTTTGTTTTTTTTTTTTACACATTTGATCAATTAATTTGTTAAATGTGTTCATATACTACCATTGTTAACAAAGATAGCCGGTGACAATGATAATATGTGAACACATTTAACAAGTTAAATTACCAAATGTGTAAAAAAATTACCTAAATATGAATAAAACGAAAAAGATGTTTAACCTCACAAGTCATTTTCCCCCTCCACAATATGAGTTTATTCTAAGCCTTTTCAAAATGAAAAAGTTTTGAAAAAACCTATTCCTTATAGTGAGAGTGGATTTTTTTTTTTTTTTTGAACAGCTTAAAATTGAACACGAACCTAGCAAAAAGCTAGAAATTACAAAGAAATAGCTAATAATGGGTTTTGAAGCCAATTAACCCAAGTAGCTTTAACCTTATTGTTTCTATGAACAAACCAATTGTAAGACATATTAACAATATCATCAAAAATAAAAAGTTTAGACGAAACCACTTCACAAAATATAATATCATTTCGAAATCTCCACATCACCCAAATGACCGTTTGAATAATCGATTCCAACGCTGTTTTTCTCTCTCTGGATAACGAGACCATATCTAGCCAATCAAATATGTCTTGTAACGTATCCCAACCAGGCAACACTAGATCAACCCATTTAAAAACCCTTCGCCAAATAGAACCCGCCAAATTACATAAGAGAAAAAGATGATCATTTTTCTCCACATGATCATCGCACATAGGGCAAACCAAAGAAGGAATCTCCAAACCTTTAAGACTTAAATTCCACCTTGTGGGAAGTCGATCTCGCAACACCCGCCAACACAAAATATTTACCTTCCGCGGCACACATCGATTCCATCTAGTAACTGATAGACCATCTGGAAGCGAAACCTTGTCAACAAGGTTGTAAAAATCGTTCGGCGGTACCTCGGCAGTCAACCGACGATACGCGATTAATCGGACTAGGCGGGGATTAATCGGAGATTAATCGGGGACCCTTGATTATTAATAAAATTATTTAAAAAATTAATATTCCCTAAAAACCTAAGTATTTGAAAATTTTAAATTTTAAAAATTTGAAATTTTGAAAATTTTATTATAATATTTTAAAAGTTGAAAGCTTAAAAATTTTAAAATTTAAAATTTTGGTGTGATATTTGAAAATTAAATTTTTTTGAATTTTTTAAAAAATTCCCGCCATTACCGCCGAGGACCGCCAAGGACCGCCAAGCCCGTCTTTGACCGCTTTTGACCAATTTCCGCCAAACACCCTAATCGTAATCAATTCAAGGCCGCTAAACGATTAATCGCCGATTAATCGGCCGCCAAGGCCGATTTCTGCAACATTGCTTGTCAATAAATTGCCTAGTATCATGAACCGAAAACCCCATGACACCATCAACATCCCATCTCCAAGAATCCTTCTCATTTGTGGGCTGAAAATTGCCAATAAGGTTTATCAAATCATCAAGTTGTCGTTGCAAAACACCTCTACATATTTGACGACTCCAAGACCACGACCAACCGTTAGACCACCTTTCTGCAATGGAAGTGTCCGGATTTCGGTCAAGACGAAAAAGACGATTAAATCTCAAATTCAGAGCCATGTCCCCTATCCAAACATCCGACCAAAAGCGAGTACTTCGACCATCACCAACTTTTTTCCGAATGCAAGAATAAGGTATGACACCTTTATCATGCATCATGTTTATCGAACCCACAATCCGAGACCAAACTCCAGAAATATGAATCTTAGCATTCTGAAGAGAATCACCTGGATTATACCCATGTACCTCTGAAATCACCTTAACCCATAAAGCACCTTCTTCATTTACAAATCGCCACCGCCACTTTTGAATCAAAGCACAATTAAGGGCCATTAGGCTTCCAAATCCAAGGCCCCCTTTCTCCTTTGAAGACATCACCATATTCCAGTTAACCCAAGCCAACTTCTTTTTGTTTTCACTCGAACCCCAGAAAAACTTGGCTCGCAATGCCTCTAAATGTTTTTTCACTTGAGCTGGCATTGGGAAAAGAGACATATAATAATTCCCCAAAGAACCCAAAACTGAAGTAATCAATACCGATCGACCTCCAATCGACAACAAGCTAGCATTCCAATTGGAAAGTTTTTTTTAAACCTTTCAACAATCGGATTCCACCCTTTAATTTTGCCCATATTTACACCTACCAGAATAGTGAGAGTGGATAATGACTTGTTAAATAACAAGTTCTTGGATGAAAGAGTTTTCATTATTTTGGCGGGATCATAGCTTTCAATCAATAAAAACTTAACAAAAAGCTTCTTTAATCATTTTGATGGAGTCCATATGTAATATTTATTGTTTTTTAATTCATGAAAAAGTTTGACAATCAAATTTTCCTATTGTGACGAAAGTATTTTGAGGTTTTTATTTTGTTGAGGCCGCATAAAATGATTAGCTAAAGACTTGACTATTATAGTTGCTCTAATAACTAATAACTAATAACATTATTGACAATAAAAAGCGCAGGTTGTTTAAATGTTTAACCATACAGGCAATATAATGGATAAACAATTAATGAGAGATTGTACAATTAGTTTGCTATTGATAAGTTGCTAATTGAGTAAATAACGACTATATGGAACAAGTGTTCTATTGGGTCTACTTCTCTCAAAGTTTATTTTATTTTATTTATTTATTTTTTATTTTATTGTCAATCCAATATATTTAGAACAAAAATACATACATACCATATAATTAACATCTATAATGGTGAATTTTAATGGAAAAGTTAAATAAGATGACAAATATATGTGTCATTCAATAAATGAAACTTTATCATTACGAGATGTCACTTTATCATTTAATGGATTTGAAGTTCAATGATCATTGAACTTTTCAATAGAAAAAAAAATGTTTTTAGTTCTTAATTGTAAATTATAAATTATAATTTATAATATTATATTAAATTTTTTGGAGTTTAATATATTGTAGGAAAAAAATAATAGAGTTATATGGATGGGAGATAGATGATGTGTAACTCCATAAATTTTGTGGATACCTTTAACAGCAAAGAAAATAATGTAAGGTTGGACCGTTTCACTCTCAATCAAATGAGTAAGAATGTAAGATAGATTACAATTTACAATAGCAAAGAAACGACTTCAACAGAGACATCTCTTGTGACTTCAACAGAGACATCTCTTGTGGATTCTTGTCATTAATTAGGTCACTTTGGGTTTATATATATTATAACAAAACTGAAGAGCTAAAAGGAATTATGTGTAAAACGTTAGTATATAATAGATGATTGGATATTAATCTAAGTATATATGGAGTATTATGTAAACTGGATTCATATTTGAAGAAGCTGAAAAAAACCTTAAGATGGATCAATGGGTGTTCTCCGATCATCGCTACCACTTCCGGCAGCCCTATGTTGCTGATATTGCATGTGTTGTCCAAGACCGCCGGTGGCATCATAAGTACATTTTACATCTAAACCCCTTATCGCCGCCGTGTGCTGATGATCCCTAGGGGGAAAGAACTCTGCAGGGTGGTGGTACAAATGGTGATCTTGACTAATAACACCACCAACGTCGACATTAATCAAGTTGATCCCCAAGTCATGATGGTGGTGGTGGGTTGTGGTAGCTGCCGGAGCAATGAGTCCATGGGTGGCTGCACCATTCATATGACAAAGATGGTGGTTCTGGTACTTGGACAGCTCCGATTTGGCGGAGGTTAGATCCATCTGAAGCTGCCGGAGTTGGTGTTGGAGCAGGGAGATGACTCCGACACACCCATAGACCGGATCACGGAGGCGCATGTCGGCCTCATAAGCCAGCGTGTTCACCGCATCCTCACGTTGGTGAGGGTGCAGTTCATTCAGAAGCTTCGTCACGTTGCTTGCTCCGAACACCTTGTGAACATTCGCAAACTTCTGCGGCTGGTCCGCCGGAAAGTAGGGTGCAAATACACACTCCGGTTGGCATTTTCGTCTCAGGAACTTGCACGCCGCACATGGCGAATTCGAAGACGACGCCATTTTTGCAGGTTATATATTCGGCCCCCACTAGTTTTTTTTGCTATCGTCGCGTGGCTGAATATCCAAATATACAAACAAAAATTAGTAATTACGGAAAATGATGGGTTTTCAAACAAGATGAGGTAAGATTACCCAAGAGTTCTTGAATGAGTTATACGATTGTTATGGCAAAGCAAAAACGTCGACTACTGTTTTGTTTGTACGAGATAAGTTAGATCGTACGTATAAAAGAAGAGCGAAGAGGAAGAAAGGGGAAGGTTTGTATAGGTATGAGGGTGTTTAGTTAATAGTCAAACGTAGTTAGGGTAGAAAAGAAGGGTATGGATATTGGATCTTGAAAAGTTTGTTTTTTCAAGACGAGACTTTTGAGGGGTTAGATTTAAAATGGTTCTTGGGAGAAATCAATTATGACTTTCTTGCAAACTTAATTTAATTTAATTTAGTTTCTTAGTAAATAGGTGTTTATTATTTTCGTCGATGTCATTGTTAGATTTAAATAATTTCTTTGCAGAAGCCGAAGCAAACAATAACTACGAAGAATTTACTCAATTTAGAACAATTTTGATTAATTTCTTTAATGGAGTAGGAGTATTTTGGCAAAAATGAGCTTTGAAATAGTTGGAAGACAATATTTTTTATTTGTGTAAAAAGATTTGGTATAAGTGAATTTTTATGTGTAAAATTACATAGTTAAAACCTAAAAGTTTAAGGGTTGTTGAGATCCTATATGGCATGTCATAACAATGTTATGACATATTGAACACCGTGACACCCTATAAAAGTTTAAGGGGTGTTGGAAGACAATATTTTTTATGACACAATGAACACCGCTACATCCTCATGTTATGGTAAGGGTGTTCGTATTACAACATATTGAAACGGAAAAGTACTCTCTCTCTCTCCCCACCATGTTAGCCACACTTCATATATATTATAACAAGTTGGAGTGTGAGATGACAATGTTTAAATGTTATAACATCCACCCTTAATATGCATACCTTGTAGCCTTATTTATTTAAAATATAAGTTAATCTTGTGCTCTCGAATGAAGTTTCTTATAAAAGCCCTTAAAAGCTTTCAAAAACTTAGTGGTACATGTAAACATTAAAATGGAAAAAATGAAATTAAACAAAAAAAAGAACTTGAACTTACTTACCTCCCACGTAAAATGGGTTAAAGTCTTTTTTGTTCGTTATTTACAAATTACACCTAAACTTAGCATTATTATCACCATTTAATCTATAATCTCCACCTTGACATGCTAATCCCAACCAAACTTTCCATCTAAAGTGTCCTTAACTCCAAATCAAGACATTAGATAACCTACGTGTATCCACTCAACTGCCTTTCGATTCGATCAACTCGAAACCCAAGACCTTAAATAACGTAGTTTGGATTTTGTAATATTTCTCTTGACATTGTTTTTCTACAATGTGACATCCCCAAATTTACGGTCTTTTTAAAACTTTTTCTTTATGGTTATTTTAAATCAGAGTGATCTTTATAAATGCGGAATTTGTCCCATAAAAAATATTTTCGAAGAAAATGTTTTTTCATTTATTATTAAAAACTCTGGGATGTCATTACTGTTGCAAAACATAAGCATAAACAGACCTTACATCAATATTCTTGCAGCCTACGAACTTCTTAAATCTCTCAGCAGATAATTACATTATCTATCAATACCTTCATATCGCTACCTGTGATACAAAGAAACTGAGTGTGTCAGGTTGGGAAACCTGGTGAGCACATAGGGTTTTCAACCCATAATATTATAATCTTTAATTATATAATCTTCAACATTAAATAACCATGTTACCCCATTCCCGTTATTCTCACTTCATAATCCAAGAATGATGATCTCGAGAAATCTTTTCTAAAGGATCTTTGACAGCAATCATCTATATTTCCCTAAGTGTTTAGACACAACAATATGATAATAGCACGACGATAAAATAGTACTTTGGATAATCACAACACTACAATAGTACTTTTGGATAAACATTGCAGTACAATAGTACTTTAGATAGGCACAGCAGTATAGTAGTACTTTGGATAAGCACAACAAGTCACGACTTGTTATTTCGCATAACTCCCACTAACCTATTGATGGAAAACGTAGATTACTAAACAATGCTCTAAACGGAAAAACATTTAACAATTAAATGATTAGGGCACATGCAACCTAAAGATGATATATGTATTTCACATAAAGGCAACATGCCAACATACTATGAACTATAAAACTACAAAATCCTAATGAAATCAAAATTCATAAAGGAAGATAACATACCTTGTTGATTGTTGTAGCAAACAATCAAGAATCTTTTCTTCAATAACTTGGAAGCTAGCACCACAAATGTAACGTCCCAAAATATAGACCAAAAAATTCGATTTTTAAATTAATAAAATTGTTATCCAAAACATCATCACAACCATGGTAAATCAAATGTATCATTTATGTCATCTGAAACATCCCAAAAATACAGACCAAAAATTTCGTTTTTAAATTATTGATAAAACCATAGTTATCCAAAACATATGTCATAATATCTCAAACATCATATCAATGTATCTCAAAATATCATAGTATAAACATCTCAGGCTGAACAAATGGTGTGTGCACTGCAATCATCCCGAGCCCTTCCCCTTGGTACCGGAAGTACCTGAAACCAAAACTGAAAACTATAAGCACGAAGCTTAGTGAGTCTCCCCAAACTACCACATACCATACACATAACATGCAACTAGGAGATACGGGCCCCGCCAACACTCCGCTAACTGGGAGATACGGGCCCCGCCCACACTCCTCTGACTCTGAGATACGGGCCCCGCCCACACTCGGCTACTACGAGATACGGGCCCCGCCCACACTCGGCTACTATGAGATACGGGCCCTGCCCACACTCAGCTGCTATGAGATACGGGCCCCACCCACACTCAGCTACTAAACATACATACAAGTATCACACAGACAACAAGTATAACTAGTTCTATCAATCAGGCATATATCCATAATCAAACTAAGCTATGAGATACGGGCCCCGCCCACACTCGGCTAACTGGGAGATACGGGTCTCGCCCACACTCAGCTACTAACATAATCATACTACGGGTCGCCTTGATGCCGTAGACCCGTTCGTACTAAAGGAAACTCACCTCGTAAGGATGAGTGCTGAAATCTCGAGTGAGGAATCTCTGACTGCTGCTCCGACGACTCCCCGACTATCAATTTCATAATAACACTTAATCAAAATCTGATAATCCTTCTTAGGGTAAAATGACCATTTTACCCCCGGTCAAATTCAACCTTCTGGTTGACCCAACTCGTCGAGTTGCTCCATCAACTCGTCGAGTCCTAGAACCTGAAATCGCGATCTAACTCGTCGAGTCTCCCCCTGACTCGTCGAGTTCCCAGGCTACTCACAGTCGCGATCTAGCGATTTAACTCGTCGAGTCCCTTCACGGACTCGGCGAGTTCTACCTGAAGCTAAAACGGGACAACCTAATTCAACGCGTCGAGTCCCTCTATGGACTCGCCGAGTTCCTCTATCTGATTGAGCCATCTCAATGGATTAAGCTCCTACCCTTCAGATATAAACTCCATACTTCACCTACACACTGGGAATACACTTTTAAGGGTAAAGTTTCCAACTTTACCCGCTCTTAGTCCTTCTTAATGGGTTTAGCTCAAACCCTAACTCTCTAGAACATAGATCTTGGTCCACAATCCATAATACCCTAAACCAAGGCACACTATACTAGATCTAGGCTTTGAACATCAGCTGGACACGTAAAGTTCATAGCTTTCCTTCCAAGCATGGCCTCTTTGGGCTAAAAGGGCCATATTAACGCTTATAAGCTTGCATGGGGCTTCCATGGTCATAAAGTTTGCACATTTATGCCATGGAACCCCTCCTAGATCCCAGATCCGAAATATAAGTCACTTGGGACGTCCAAATCCCAAAGACCAAGGTTCTTGCACCAAAACCCTCATAAAATGGAAGTAGATAGATCTTAGAAATGAATGATCAAGTTAGAGACTTGATTACCAGAAAGTGATGAGGATGGAAGGAAATCCCTGGATATACTATCTTCTCCTTGAACCTTCTAGCTCCTTCTTCTTCTTCTAGCTTCAAGAACACACCAAAACACTCAAGAATGGCTCACAACTCACAAGACACTCTAGGGTTTAGGACTTGGAGGCTGGAAATGAGGCCAAAAGGTGGGGATTAAGATGCTTAAATAGGGTGCAAAACCCCGAAATTAGGGTTTCACTCTGACAGACCTACTCGCCGATTCGAGGGCTCTTGACTCGTCGAGTAGGTGGCTGAAATCCCGCGTCCAAAACTCAATTCTACTCAACGAGTCTGGGGCTTCCAACTTGTCGAGTAGCTTTATAAAAATAATATTTTTCAAATAAATGTGTACCAGAGACCGGACGTTACATCATCAAAACATGAGAGTAATCAAAATATGCAAAAGTACATGAAACATAAACTGAAAACCGTAAGCACAAAGCTTAGTGAATTTCCCCCAAATACCAAATACCACACATGTCAAACATATAATGGGCCCCGCCTGATGAATGTAACGGGCCCCCGCCCTAACTCGTATAACGGGCCCCGCCCCCTGAGTGTAACGGGCCTCGCCCTAACTCACACAACGGGCCCCGCCCAACATACAAATCATAGAAGCATAACCAGATAATAGCATACAAAATAATCATTGGGCCCCGCCCCGTAAGCATACAAGAACAAATCCATGCAAAAGTCACAAAGACATCTAGCATCCTAACATAACATATATTGGGCCGACATTGGTGCCTTAGACCCGCTAAACCCAGTGAGGAAACTCACATCGAACTGTTGAATCACACTGATAAATCTCTGGTTGTTGGTCCAACAAATCCCCGCGCTATCAATACCAATATCATCCAATTAATAATTGGATTTCAATCCATAACCATCAGTCTAAATTTGGGTAAAAATACCATTTTA